ACAAATCGGCGCGGGGGGGGGGGGGGGGGGGGGTCTCTTCAATTCCAGTACAGATCATCCACATGGGGAGTTACGCAGCACAGATCCAACCGAGTAGACATGCTAAGCAATCCCCGTCATGCACACAAACAGAGAGTGTGTTACAAATGGCAAACTCCACAGCCTTTGCCAGCGAAAAAAATTTATCTAGAGTTCTTCCGGTCTGTGCAAGTATACAAATGCTCTTAATCACCAAAATCCCCTTGGTGCAGCTGGCTCCGTGGCAGGTCTCTAAAATAGACCGCTCTAAGAGGGAAAGATCCTTCAAACAGTCTTCCAAGACCCACATATCCTAGGCCACGGGTCTGGCCTCTCTGGGCTTGTCTACACCACATCCGTGGCAGGGCCTGGGCACAGCTCACCCACCAGTCTGCTGACATGCTGTAGAGCAGAAGTTCATCCAGGAGGCTTGTCTGGGCTCATCCCCACTGCTGCTCTCAAGCCCTCAGTCTAAGGGCAGTCTCACAGGTGAGCCTCCAGCTCGTGAACGGACACACTCAATCTGATCCATCGTGAGACCTGCCACTGATCAGAGAGAGGCACTCCTAGGAACCAGCCCTGGTTTAAAGCATGCGCTTTGCCTTGAGGGCTGAGATAAGAGACCTGGGTAGGATACAAAAGCAGTGAGGACTCCTCATCCCAGCATGTCAGGCCCACTAAAGCAAAGGAGGGCTAGGGCCAGCTAATTAGGCAAGCCTTCCCAGCTCAGCCCTCCTCACTCCTGACCTACAGCACTCACATGCCTGTGCCTAAACACCTCAGACTTGCATTCCCCACTACTCTCTGTGGGATCAGGTCTACTTCAGAAGGCAGTTTCCCCCCGCATGGACTCCAGTGAGAATCAGGCTCATGATCCAAGGCCAATTCTCAGTCACTTCACCCAGGTGAGCAACCCCACAGAAAGGGTTGCCCAGCTGAATTAATACACAGTACAACTGTCTCCTTCTGCAGCAGGATGCAAATCCAGCAGCACTGTAGAAAGTTACATAGCTGATTGGCAACAGGGACCAGCATTTAGAAACTACAGACCCCAATCCTGCCCCGATTCACTCCCCATTACTGCTGGGCTTGCCCACAGCAGGATCTGCAGCTCAGACCTGTTTCCATGAGAGCCAACAGAAGATGAAGCAAAGGGCCCAAACACTCTCAGGATAGCACCTGACCCCTGATCCTGCTGCTGCTGGAGTCGATAGGAGCTTCACCATTTGTTTCAGTGATTGGGCTCCTCATAGGCTGTCATTCGTAAAAAACATTTTCTAGAGAGGGGTATGGATTTAGATAGGGGCAGTCTTGGTGCTCCTCACAATCACCTCATTGGACTGGTAGCTTTATGACATTCAGATGATTTGCTTCGCGGAGGTTTTTCCTTTCCTGCACAAAATCCAACACTGAAAATCCTCAGCTGTAGCTTGTCTTCCCTACCTACAAGTCTCTGCCTGATTTTGAGCACACTGTTTTGGAAACAGGTCTTTTCTGCAGCAGCACAAAATCCCTCCAGCCCACTAACTGTGCAACGAGATGAGAATACACGAAGGCCAAGAACAGATCTGGATCTCATTTTCCTGTAACTCAGCATCTAATTATTCAGAGTCGTACCCCTACCTTGTCACAGCACAGCTGAATTTCCACTTACGGTAGGGCACACAGGATGCAGAGGCTGAAGATCAGAGCTTCTGCCAAAGACTTGCCTAGACACTGGACTTTCATCCTCCAACAGGATAGTTATATTCTGACACTCCCCTTATCAAAATACAATCTTGTGCCCAAAGTCACAATGAAGAGATAGTGAAATACACCAAGCAAGCACCGTGCAAGTACGCACAGCCAATAGCAACCCTCATTTCTGACCTCATTGCCCTCCTCATCACAGGATATGACCAAGTCTGCCATTGACCTCAAGTCAAAGACCCTCTTCCACGTTTCCATTCCAGTGAAGCACTCAGTCATAATAACAAGCTCTGTGGGCTGAAAGTGAAAAATGTAAAGTTCTCAACCCATCACCAATGTCTCTTAAATATTTAGCCTCAATCTACAACATATCTGCAAAGCAACAGTTACCTTACAGCTTCTTCAAAGCAGGTGAAGCCCCCAAATTACTCCAGAGAACACATCGAAGCAGATATGCAGCCATTCTTCTTCCTCCGTCCAAGAAAGGTCTGACAGCCTCTCTTATATGCTGTTTGAAACTAACCCAGTGCACCTGCCAGCACAAGCCCCACAGTAATTACCCAGCATCTTTATGCAGGGTCCTAGCACCTGCTCTTCGGATGGCTCAGCAGAGGAACCCTGTACTCCTACAGTTATAATTACAAACTCTGACATGCTGCAGGTCACTACATCTCATTAGTCAGCTGCGAGGTAATCAACTACAGAAGGGCATGAACCATCCCTTGGGATCCTGAACCAAACCTTCCCAGCAGCAGCAGGGTGGGGATCTTTGTACATCGAGCTCTGGTTTAGATTGATCTACAATGATGAAGACCTCTACTGTGTATTATATGAGCATCGCACAAGTTCAAAACTCATGGGTCAGGCCCCCAGTCTAGAGCTAAGTACAGGCAGTCAAAAAGCCTGAGGCTGAATCGATTCAATCTTCACAAGTTAGTCTAAGCTGTGTAGATTGAACAGATAAGCAGTGAACAGACATTCACTTTTGATTCCAGAAATGCAGACACATGCCTGCAGTGGCCCAGGTCAGAAGCCAGGCGGTGTTAGAGCACACCTCGCTGCTTGGCTGAAGCAGACAGCTTGGGCAAGTCTAGCCCACCCACCTTGCAAGGGGGAGTGGGGCTTGCAGGGGAGATGCAAAGCATCCTGGGATGCTGGGGGACTGTGAGTTAACTTGAATTGGGAGGGGATCTGAGACAGAAGTTCAATAAACTGATTTAACCTAAATCAGTTAAGTCTGATACTACATCATCCAGGTTTATCTTAAACTGGTTTCAGCCATTTTGAAAGCAGTTTATGTGTACTAACTTCTGTTGTGTTACAGATTTGAACCAGTTTCCAATCACTTATACCAGTTTGTGTGACATTTCTGTTCCTAGTCTAAGAGACTGTATTTACATGATCTCTCTCCCCATCTAATATATTATGTAAATTGAGGTTCTCTTTTAATTCCTGAAGGCCAGGGGTGGGGTGCTGAGTCTGGTTTTCAAGATTTACTCTGCAACCACAAAGGCAAGAAACTCTTTTTTAAATAGGATTTCCAATGACTCCAGGATCTGGGGCTTTAAAGAGAACAGCCAATCTGGTGAACCTGGCGATATGTTGCCAACACTACGTTCACTACAGAGTCTGCAATGTCCATGAAAGATCAGAGAAAACTTTCTTACTGACAATCAAAGGAAGGCATGTGAGAGCGGGAGAGCAGGGCTACGAGCAGAGCAGCGGCCTGGGACCGTCGGTGGAGCTGCGGGGGCTCAGGCAGGGCATACGAGCAAGAGCGCAGGGAAAGAATCATCAGGACATGCACAAAGCAGCAGAAATACCAGACAGCACCACGTGCAAGTCTGGTGGCTCTGCTGAGCTCTGCCAAGCTCCAGTTCTCGGTAACACAATGCTCTGCTCAGAAGCCCTGACCGTCTCCCGACGAGTTGGCGGGAGCCTCCTACGCAGCCAGCACTGCTGCTAAAAACAAATCAAGCCCTGTTCCCCTGGGACTTCGCAGTGTCCAAGCCAGACAGGCCTCCAGCAGCCCCACCTGCTCCCAGCCCACAAGACGTGGAGCCTTGGCACTGTGCTCAGTGACCTCATGACTCAGCAAGGAAACCACCTTCAGCCTCACAAGCAAAACAACAGCAGGAGCAAGGGCCCAATGCAAAGCCGACAAAATACAGTGTTAAGAGATAGCAGAGTCCTTTTTTTCTATAATGTGAATTTCCACTGAGAAGTCTTGTTTCTTAAAAGATACAGAGAGACCAAGGGAGCAGCGCAGGTATATACTTAACAAGCAAATACCGCCCAGGTGAAAATCCACCCCAGTGCTCTCTAGCCCACACAAATGCCCCAAATGGGCCAGGATCATGGGAGCAGGTGCGTGTGTCACATGTTTCCCCGTACCATGCTGATGCTCTTCCCATTTCATCACAAAGCTCACAATGGTTGATGTTCTGATAGATCCAGCACAGGCTCCAAACAGAGAACCTGACTACAGAAATCTCAGGATTTTTATGCAGATCAAGTGCTTTTGGGGAACTTGAGCCATGTTTCATCTTCTTAATTTTGGGATTTGACAATAGTGCATCAAGCAAGTGAAATGAAAATAGGTGCTTTGGGGTGAACTGTTCCTAGC